TAGAAAGCAGAAGGGTACAAGTAGGAAACACAAAAGTGTTGTACCCTCTAAGGACTACCCCACTACAGCCTAAACAGACTATAGTAGATATAAGTTTGACACACCCCCATAGGCAAAGTGGGGGAGAACAAGGGGTCACAAGACCAGTCAAGAAAGACAAAGCAAGCTCAGGGTGGATCACAAAGTCACCACACAGTCTGAGCACAAGCAAAGGGCCATAAGGCCAGTTCACATGCAGAGTTATATAAAGGAAAGCAAACAATACAGTGAACACAACCTAGCAAGTGTAAGCATGCAGGTATAAGTATATAGAGTACAGTACAAGCAGAGTCAAGAAGTCAACAAGTGAGGCACAGTAGGTACAAGGCCTAACATAGTACAGAAACGCTGATGATCACAAGGCTGAAGTGCCTTGGTGAAAACATCAGCAGTGTTGGCCTGAGAGGCCACGTAAGCAAGACGAAGCTGGCCACGCTGCTGCAACTCTCGAGCAAGGAAGTAGCGCAGAGCAATGTGCTTCGTTCTGTGCTCCAGTCTGTGCTCCTGACACAAGGCCAGCATGGCCTTGTTGTCGACGTACAGAACTGGAGGAGAACGAGGCGCCTCTCCCAAGTCGGTCAGCAGGTAGGTGAGCCAGCGAAGCTCCTGTGCAGCCATGGCTCCAGCGTAGATCTCAGCCTCACAACTGGAGCTGAGAACAGAAGAAGAGCGGGTAGACCGCCAAGAGACAGAGCCGGAGCCAAGACTGAAGGTGTAACCCTGTGACGACCGCTGCGTAGCCAAGTCGTCAACCCAGGAGGCGTCAGCGTGACCAGTGAGGACAACTCGAGCCCGTCCTCCAAGCACGAGCCCCATGCCCGATGTACTGCACAAGTATCGCAACACCCTCTTCGCAGCATCCCAGTGCACCTTTCGGTGCCTGCCGGGAGCCACGTAGCGAGCCAGAAGGCTGAGAGGGTATGCGAGGTCAGGTCGTGTGCAAGTCATCAGGTACATGAGGCAGCCCACAAGCTCTGGATACGGGCCACTCGGCTCTACGGACTCGTCCGAACGTGGAGCTGAGAGCGAGTGACCGGTAGGCAGAGGAGTGGACTGTGGCGAGGAGTACGTGAAGCCGAAGCGCTGAAGGACCTGCTGCACCATGTGTGACTGAGTCAAGGTAATGGTGCGCTGTGCTCTGTCCCGGGTGATCCGCAAGCCAAGATAGCTTGTCAGCTCACCCAAGTCTGTGCACGTGTGTCTCTTCTGCAGCTCGGACTTCACGTGGGCGAGTGCCTTCGTGGCAGCAGTAGCAAAGACAAGGTCGTCTACGTACATAAGAACGTAGAACGGCGGCAGAGTAGCGACAGTGCGTAGAAACAGAGAAGGGTCAGCAGTGGAAGGAGCAAAACCAAGAGCAGGAAGAGTCGTCCTGAGCGTGTCGTGCCACTCACGGGGCGCCTGGCGGAGACCGTAGACTGGCCGCCGGAGGCTCCACTGGGTACCAGCAGGAAACGACCCAGTGAAGCCAGGTGGGCGGCGCAGCCAGATCTCCTCGTGCAGGCTGCCCTGTAGGAAGGCTGTGCTGAAGTCAAGCGAGTGGAGCTCGTAGTCACGCTGAGCAGCAACGTGCAGCAGTACCCGAAGAGTGGTCATCTTCGGGGTAGGGGAGAAGGTCTGAAAGAAGTCAACTCCCTGTCGCTGACTGAAGCCACGTGCAACGTAACGCGCCTTGAAGGCAGGCGGAGAACCCGGTGGCCGCTTCACCCTGAAGATCCACATGCCACTGACGATGTTCGCCCCAGGTGGGGGAACCTCGTCTACGTAGGTGCCTGTGGACTTCCAGGAAGCCATCTCTGCGTCCATGGCTGCCTGCCACTGAAAGGAGTAGGGACCCTCTATCGCCTCTGCGTAAGAGCGCGGGGTCGGGATGTCTAGTGCATCCGGGTCTCCCTCAGGGGCAAGCAGCATTGACACAAGATGAGGTGAAGCAGCGGCAAAGCACTCAAGGTCCTCCTGCCTGTCCTCAAGGACGTCCGTGCCAAGAGCACACTCACCCCCGACGGACGGAGGACAGACAGACACAGACGCAGACTCAGCAACAAGACTAGCGGCGTAGTCTAGGCGACAGGCTACAGCAAAGTCAACAAGCTCAGCAACAAGAGCAGACGCAGCAGAGGACTCAAACAGGGGGTCAGTGACAGCAGTGGCCAGAAAGCGCATGACAGTAGGACTAGCAGCACGAAGGGAGTCAGACTCCGGGTCCGGACCGTCAGGAAGAGAGGACGCAGGAGGAGAGGGCAGAGGGACACGCTGTGGAGCAGTAGAAGGACGCAGTGTCATAGAGTGAGTGCCTGGGACAGGAGGAAGACGCGGACGCGAAACACGACCAGCGCGAACAGTACGGACAGGCGACGCAGAACGAGACTCAGGTGACACAGGACGAGCAGGCTCACGACGCTCCGTAAGACCTCTAGTCGGACCAGAGTAAGGAGAAGGACCAGGCAGCGGAGAGGCCGGCTGCAACTGCGACTGGGACTGGACAGGAGGTGGACTCAGGAAAGGAGGAGGAGGACCAGGAGGAGGCGGGGAGCCAAGAACCTGCTGAAGGAGCGGAACGTAGTACGGCCGCGGCCGCACAGCGCCTCCAGAAACAGCAGAGACAGAACCGGTACCCTCAGCCTCAGGGTCTCCAGTCCTCGCAGCACCTCCAGTAGCTGCAGCACCTCCAGCAGCTCCAGCACCAGTACCACCTCCAGCAGCGCCAGCACCTCCAGTAGCTCCAGTAGCACCTCCAGCACCAGCAGCACCTCCAGCACCAGCAGCACCTCTAGCAGCTCCAGCACCAGCACCACCTCCAGCAGCACCAGCACCTCCAGCAGCTCCAGCAGCTCCAGCACCAGCAGCACCTCCAGCAGCTCCAGCACCAGCAGTACCTCCAGCAGCTCCAGCACCAGCACCACCTCCAGCAGCGCCAGCACCTCCAGCAGCTCCTGCACCAGCAGCACCTCCAGCAGCAACCCGACAGCGCCGAGAGTACCACTCACGAAGCCGCTGTGGAGAGAGGGGCTCCCGCCGCGACGGGACACCTAGAGCACCTCCAGACTCAGCACGCGCAGGCTCAGCACCTCCAGACACAGTACCCTCAGGCGCCACACCCCCAGGCTCAGCACGCCCAGTCTCAGCACCCCCAGACTCAGCACCCCCAGACTCAGCACCCCCAGTCTCAGCACCCCCAGTCCCCGCACCCGCAGGGTCAGCACCCCTAGCAGCACCTGAGTCGACAGCTACCTCGACCGGCTCGGCAGGGTCTACCTGGGACACACCTGAGGGGGCAGGACCCTGGGGGGGGAGGGGGTGTACTAGGGGAGTACCTGGTGCCAGGAAGAGCGGCGGGGGGGGGGGAGAGGCAGTGCGGTAGGGAAAGAGACGGTAGTACGACACGGACTCGTCGAACGTGACGTCCTGAGAGGACAGAACACGACGCGAGGTGGGGTGGTAGAACTGCCACCCGGGTGCGTCAGGAGGGAAGCCAAGGAAGACGCACGGGAGGACAGCTTGTCCGCTGTAGTATCGCGGACAAAAGCTCGAGATCCCCAGACACGGAACGCGGACGCATCGCCAACCTTCCCCGTCCACCGCAGAGTAGGTGTGGTCTCCGGCAAGGAGACACGAGGCTGAAGGTTGATCTGATGCGCAGCGTACTGAACCGCGAACGGCCACAGAAAATGGGGAGCAGCCGCATGGATCATGGACGTACGAGCGACGTCCATGACCATGCCAATGCGGCGCTCAGCAATCCCATTTTGCTGTGTCTGGGCATGGGAGGTGCGGGGGGGTATGGGAGGTAGTGGGGCGTGTGGCGCAAGATGGTCACACTGCCATTGATAGTCACACTGCCATTGATGGTCACACTGCCATTGATGGTCACACTGCCATTGATGGTCACACTGCCATTGATGGTCACACTGCCATTGATGGTCACACTGCCATTGATGGTCACACTGCCATTGATGGTCACACTGCCATTGATGGTCACACTGCCATTGATGGTCACACTGCCATTGATGGTCACACTGCCATTGATGGTCACACTGCCATTGATGGTCACACTGCCATTGATGGTCACACTGCCATTGATGGTCACACTGCCATTGATGGTCACACTGCCATTGATGGTCACACTGCCATTGATGGTCACACTGCCATTGATGGTCACACTGCCATTGATGGTCACACTGCCATTGATGGTCACACTGCCATTGATGGTCACACTGCCATTGATGGTCACACTGCCATTGATGGTCACACTGCCATTGATGGTCACACTGCCATTGATGGTCACACTGCCATTGATGGTCACACTGCCATTGATGGTCACACTGCCATTGCTGGTCACACTGCCATTGATGGTCACACTGCCATTGCTGGTCACACTGCCATTGATGGTCACACTGCCATTGCTGGTCACACTGCCATTGATGGTCACACTGCCATTGATGGTCACACTGCCATTGATGGTCACACTGCCATTGATGGTCACACTGCCATTGATGGTCACACTGCCATTGATGGTCACACTGCCATTGATGGTCACACTGCCATTGATGGTCACACTGCCATTGATGGTCACACTGCCATTGCTGGTCACACTGCCATTGATGGTCACACTGCCATTGCTGGTCACACTGCCATTGATGGTCACACTGCCATTGCTGGTCACACTGCCATTGATGGTCACACTGCCATTGATGGTCACACTGCCATTGATGGTCACACTGCCATTGATGGTCACACTGCCATTGATGGTCACACTGCCATTGATGGTCACACTGCCATTGATGGTCACACTGCCATTGATGGTCACACTGCCATTGATGGTCACACTGCCATTGATGGTCACACTGCCATTGATGGTCACACTGCCATTGATGGTCACACTGCCATTGATGGTCACACTGCCATTGATGGTCACACTGCCATTGATGGTCACACTGCCATTGATGGTCACACAGCCATTGATGGTCACACTGCCATTGATGGTCACACTGCCATTGCTGTCATTCCGTTGCCCCACCTTCTCTGCCCTCCCACCCCTTGCTGCATGCCTGCCCCCACCACACCCTGCCTGCCCGCACCACCACCAACCACCCCCCTTGTTTGCGCACCAGGTGCGAGGGCGAGGTGGTGGACGTGGACCCCAGCAACGTCACTCGCCCCGTGCTCTCCGCCATCCTGCAGACTGCCTGGGGCCTCGCCCCCACGTACGCCCCTCCCCCTGCTCCCCCCTTGTTCGCCCCTGCTGGTCCCTGCTGCCCCCTGCTGCTGCCTGCTCCTGCTTGCTCCCCGCTGCTGCGCCCTGCTTACTCCATGCTTCCCTCATGCACACGCCACCTTGCCCTTTCCCTCACGCGCTGTATGAGGGCGATGCATGCACGTGCAGATGCCCCGCTGCTATGCATGCAATTTAATCTCCCCCCATCCAACCCGCACCTGCATTGCCTTTGTCAACCCACAATGGCCGTGCCATCCTCCTCGCTGCCCATAGATGCTCTCACCACTTCCCTGCATCTCCCATCTTCCCTGTGACATCTGCCGTGTACCATCTGCCCTGCGTGCATCCTCCCCCACCAGCCACGAGGCATGGAGCGCCATCCACAACGCCTCACAGCACGACTACCGGTGGAGCGGCGGCATCACGGCCATGGGCCCCTTCTCGCGCCACGTGGCAGTGACCACCACCATGCGAGACACAGCGCTGCGCAACGTGCTGCTCTCCACGCTCAACTCCACCATCTCCAGCACCCTGCACCTCCTCTCCGCGCTCCAGGTGCCCCGCCCTCTCCCCTTGCAATCTTCCCTCTCCTTCTCCCCCCCCCTTTCCTTCTCCCTTCGCCTTGTCCTCTCCTCGTCTCCCCTCCTTTCCCCCCCTCCAGTCTCCCTCCCCTTATCATCTTCCCTCGCCATTTGTTCTCCTCGGCAGTCCGCACCTCCCAAACCGCACCTCAACCCAACACGTCAATGCATTCCTCTTTCTGTGCCGTGCTTGACCGCCTTCTCATTCCCTCCCCTCCCCTGTGCGCCCCATCCCCCCCTGTACCGCCAGAGGTACGGGTCGGAGGAGGCAGCACTGAAGCCGGGCGCAGTGAGGCAGCGCTTTGAGCAGCGCTGGGGGGTGCTGCGCCACAAGCTGCAGCGCGCCGCAGCCGCGCTGTCCTCCGTGGACATGGCGGTGGCGGGGTACTATGCGCGGTCGGCGCGCCATGACATGGACGCGCTGTTTGAGCTGGCGGGGCAGTCCGCCCAGGACATGCACACCTCCTTCTCCTGCTTCCAGGTACGCCCCTCCCCTCCCCTCCCTTCTCCGCCCTCCCCCTTCTGCCTGCCATGCCATGCCATAGCATCTGTTGCTCCCTCTCAACCCCCACCTGTGTTTCATTTCCCTCCCGTGGCCACTCGCCTCACCCACCCCTCTCTGTGTTCCCCTCGCCTCACCCCTCCCCGTGTGCCCCTCGCCTCACCCCTGCCTACTGCGTGTCTCGCCGTGCTGCCAGGAGGCGCCAGTGGCGTGGTCGGTGTGGGGTGGGGTGGCAGTGCTGGCATATCTGGCATTCCTGGTGGGGCGCAACCGCTGGCGAGTGTGGCGCGTCAAGCACAAACGCTTCTAGCCACTTCCTGCCATGTCACCTGCTCACGCCTCAACCTAGCCAGGTGGAATTCCCTGACTGTAACTCTACTTGGCTGACAATAAATGCATTGTTTTTACCATGATTTGATTGGTGCAGCAGCTTGTCTAGCCTTCATACACATTCATGTGAAAAGCATCTCATTTGTATGGAAACTCTTATGTGTACAAAGTATCGAAAATGCGACTCGTGATGGCTGACATCGAAGCGCATCCTTTGGTGCTAATTTCGTTGTGAGTCCGCCACTTGTCGCTACCCCACGTCCCTCGCATTCAACCTCCACCTGCCCCGCGTCCGCGTGGCATGCTGCTCGTCTTGTCAGAGTGTTCTTGCTTTCCCGCTCACTTGTCCTTTCCCACTTCACGTACAGCTGGAGTTCAGGAGGAGTGTTCATGTGAAGTGACTTGATGCGCTTTCTCAACTAAAGCTTGTGCACCCTTGCACTCCAACCCTTGTTAATCCGCACACTTGAGATCTCATCTTGTATCCTCATCCTTTCGAGCAAGCATAGCAGAATCGCCAGATCAATCATGGCCGAGGCTCCGAATCGCGAAGCACCACCCCCGCATCAGATTAGGCTATCCGACGGCAATCCTTTCTCTGCGTTCTCTGACAACTTGCTGGGCGCCGTGCTGCTGCGCGTGGCGTGCAACGGCGTCAGATTCGGCGGCCAGGATTGTCTTGTGACCGACGCGGAAGAAGCCGATGCGGGAAGGAAGATTGACGAAGCCCTAATTGAGCCGCTCCCCTCTGAGAGCGCGTGGCTCGCCGGCACTTCCGAGGCTCCCGTTAGGTGCTCATCGTCGTCGCTGGTCTCCTTCCGCCACGCGCTTGTCTGCAAGCGCTGGTTGTGCGTCGCCCGCTTCGTGCATCCCGCCATCGTCGTTCTGCTCAACCGCTTCTTCTCCGCGCGCGCCCTCGCGTCTCTTCTCCGCGCGCCCGCGACCGCGGGGTTCCCCAACCTCCGCCACCTGCACCTCGCGCCGAACGAGCTGGACACCGTCGATCCCGCGCTCGTGCGCGCCATCTGCGTCGGATCTGGGCCGTCCTTAGCGCATCTCACGCTGCAGCTGCAGGATGGCTGGCTGCCTGTGACGCGCGCGCGACAGTACTCTTTCCTTGGGATCGGCGCACAGGCGGCGGCGGTAGCGGAAGCGGCGCTAGCGGCGGGGGCGGTCTCGCCGGCCGATGTCGCCGCCCTGTTCTGCTCTTGCACGCGATTGGTCAGTCTCGACGTGAACTTTGGGACAGGGCTTTCCGAGGTTCCTGCTGCCGTCAGCTGCCTGCAGCAGCTCACGGATTTCGGCATGTCCTTCGACGACGATGTTACCACGTTACCGGCGGAGTTTGGCAGTTTGGTGCGACTGAAGCGGTTACAAATCCGGTCGACTTCCCTCGTGCTGCCCGATTCCTTTTGCGGCCTGCCCGCCCTAGAGCACGTCAGCTTGCGTGGCTGCGATTTTTCTCATCTGCCCAGCGACCTTGGGCAGCTCCGAAACCTCAAGAATCTCACTCTCAAACTTCTGATGTAGCCCGTCGAGCTGCCCGCCTCCATCTGCCTCCTCTCCGCGCTTACCAGTCTGACCCTCGTGCACTGCTATGCGCTCGCAAAACTGCCCGAAAACTTTCACCAGCTGCCGAATCTGCGCACCATCCACCTGGAAGCACTAATCGCCCTCACTGCCCTCCCACAATCTTTCGGCCAGCTGCCCGCGCTGCGTGACCTCACCATTGAAGGCAACGGTCGCATCATGCACCTCCCGCCATCGCTCTCAAGCAGCCGCACGCTGGAGCGCGTCTCTCTCAACGACTGCCAAGCGCTCTTATCCCTGCCGGACGCCATCGGCCACATCCCCACCCTAGAACGCGTCGAGCTCATCTTTCTCGACGCCCTCATGGCGCTTCCCGACTCCCTAGGATGCGCGTCGCGCCTGCACGAGCTGAGCATCGTCAAGTGCCGCCGCCTTGTGGCCCTCCCGCGTTCAGTCTCTGCCCTCACCTCCCTCACCCGCCTTACACTCGATGACTGCGCTGTGTGGGCGCTGCCCGAGGATTTCGGGCAGCTGTCGAACCTGGCCCAGCTGAAGCTGTCCTGCGGGCATTTGCCTGCCCTGCCCAGGTCATTCGGGCAGCTGGGGAAGCTGCAGGAGCTGAGGCTCCACGCATGCTACGGGCTACTCGAGCTGCCCGCGTTTTTCGCAAATCTCTCCTCGCTGGAAGCGCTGGTCATCTACGGGGGAACGTCGCTCATCTCCCTGCCGCCCTGCTTCGAGCAGCTCCCGCAGCTGCACCGCCTCGAGCTCTTTAACTGCGCCATGCCGAGCATGCCGGAGAGGTTCGGGCAGCTGCCGAAGCTAGAAGTTTTGAAGGTGGGAAGCAGGGAGAGTTACACGAGGGACGGCGCGGATCCAGAGCAGCGCTCCTCATCTGCTTGCCCCTCAGCGCTCTCACTGGCCACGCTGAATGAACCGCTGCTGGGGCGCTGCCTGCTGTGCAGCTTGCCGGCGCCCCTCTCTTCCCTCACGTGCCTGCAGCAGCTGGTGATGGACGGGTGTGACACGCTGGACAGCCTGCCACAGGGGCTAGGACGGCTGGCTGGGCTGCAACTGCTGCGCATCAATAACTGCCCACACCTGCGCTGCTTCCCCTCCCTCCTGCCCGCACTTCCTCCCACCTCCACCTCTGCACATGGGGGGCGTGTCGCTCCGGCTGCCCCTGCTACCACTTTGCATGCCCGTCATGCTCTTCCCCGCCCTTCAGCGCGCCTTGCTGGTTGCTCCGCTCCGCTCCCGATGCTTCACACCCTGGAGATCGCCAAGTGCTCCAAGCTCACAAGCCTGCCGGACGGCGTGCATGCGCTGCCCAGGCTGGAGCGCATCACACTGGAAGACTGCATCGCCCTGGGCTCGCCCGAGGAGTGGGTGTCGCTCACTGTGCCCGTCGCCCTTCCCCTCTCAATCACCGACATCTCCCTCTCGAGCGTCTTTCTCGAGTCCCTCTACCTCCCACCCTCCTTCCGCTCCCTCACGCGCCTCACCCATCTCAACCTGAACGAACTCCTCTGTCTCCAGGCGCTTTTTGCTCCCCCGCACGGCGCCCCACCGGAGGACCTACTGGGCGACTGGGAGGAAGGCACGCAAACAGATCCCATCTTTGGCTTCCGCATCGATCCCCACCCCGGTCCGCCCGCCAGCCTGGCGCTCCTCTCGTCACTCCAGCACCTTGCCATCGTGCAATCTGGCCTGCCGTCGCTACCCAGCAACCTGAGCGAGCTGAGGAGCCTCAAATCACTCATTTTAGAGGACTGTGTCGTCATGCCCTCCCTCCCCGCGTCCCTAGCCCACCTCTCCAACCTTGAAAAACTCGTGTTGACAACTCTCCCGCAGCTGGCACACCTGCCCAGGAATCTCGGGCAGCTGAAGGCTCTGAAAGAGCTCACGGTGGAGTTTTGTGACGCGCTGGTGGGTCTGCCTGCATCCATTGGTCTCCTCTCCTCCCTCGTCCTCCTCTCCGTCACCGAATGCAAAACGTTCTCCTCTCTTCCCGACTCCATCGCCTCCCTCCCCCGCCTCACCTCCCTCAAGCTCAACTGTCTCCCACGCCTGCGCCGCGTGCCAGAGTCCCTCTCCCTCCTCCCCGCCCTCGTGATCCTCTCACTGGAAGACTGTGAGCAGCTGCGCGCGCTGCCCGAGGGGCTGGCGGGTGTGGGGACGTTGAGGGAGGTGATAGTGGTGGGGTGTTGCGAGCTCGAGTACGTGCCTCAGTCGCTGCTGGCGAGGCAGAACATGATCGACCTGCAGCTTCGGTGAGGAGGAAGGGGGGAGATGGGTGGTTAAGGCGAGGTGGACGGCTGGGAGGAGGAGCAGAGAGGATTGGTGAAGTAGCACGGCTGAAAGGAGGAAAGAATCAAGGGAAAAGGTTAGATTGCTAGGGTTGGCTGGCAGGTTAGATTGTACGGACGGTACCAGGATAAGTTACACGGTTATAGGTTATACAGTACGTTGGAAGAATTACTCATTTTAAACACCAACGATTGTGTTAGCTAAGTTGCAATAGCTCTAGAGGCCTGATTTGCATTTGGTTGACTAATCGAGCATGTGTTTTCCCTCATCCTAGGGTCTTGATTCGTTAAAAAACAAAAACATGTGTAACAGAAGAAAAACAAATCTTCGAACACCTACAATCTGTTTAGCCTTGGTTGCATCCAAACCACTTGCCTGCCTTTCAGTGATTTCACGTGGAGTCTTCAGAAGGTCTACACTGCATCCATTGCACCTGGTTAAGAACTACTAGACTAGTGGTTAGTGCACCAAACCCAATGTGTTGCTGTTGCAGCAATAGGTGAGTGACCAAAAACAATTTCACAGGAGTCTTTCGGGGAATCAAGGATGTGCAAGTAAATGGCAGGGGGACGAACCAAGGATGTGCAAGTAAATGGCAGGGGGACGAACCAAGGATGTGCAAGTCTTGCGGGATCCACACAGGTGCCCTGCCCCTTCATCCCAGCCGTTGCTCCCCTGCAATCAGAACCCGCCCCCATTGCCAACACTGGCGGTATCAGCAGCAGCACAGGCAGCATCGCTGCGCATGTCATCGCTGTCCCCATCATACGGCCCTGATGCACCCCCGTGGTCCATCTCCTTGATGCTGCCATTGTCCATGTGGCGCTCTATGGTTCGCCGGCTCACCCCGCCCGCCTGCATGCGCATCATCGCCACAAACTCGTTGTAGTCCACCCGCCCCGCCTGTAGGCCACCCACACAAACTCACACACACACACACTCACACACACGCACACACACACACACTCACACACACGCACACACACACACACAAACTCACACACACACCCATGCACGCACGCGCGCGCGCACAGACACACACACGCACGCACGCACACACACACACACACACACACACACACACACACACACACATAGGCACGCACACACACACATACACGCAGGGCTTGAAGGGATGGTTGAACGAGGAGGCATGGAGGCACGTGGGTGGGCACGCAGCTCAGTGCCTCATGTTGCTTGTCTCAACTGCTCTCCAGTTGGCCACACTCGCATGTGAAGAGGACGAGGAGGGGAGGGAACGGGATTTGGGATAGAGGTGTGGAACGAGGGCTGGAGAGTTGGTGGGAGAGAATGGAGCAGCAGAATCCCTGCAGCCAACTGTCCACCCCCTTCCCTCTCAACTGTGAGCACCACTTACACCGCTCATCAATCATCGCGGTTCACCTCCGCCATCATCTCACCTCATCGCGGTTCACCTCCGCCATCATCTCACCTCATCGCGGTTCACCTCCGCCATCATCTCCTCCACCACTTGGCGGTTGACGCGGTACCTCTCGCATGCGCGCTGCAGCTCCGCCTCGCTGATGTACCCGCTCAGGTCCTGGTCAAACACGGAGAAGGCCTGGAACAGGTTCTCCTGCTGCTCCACCCCGCACAGCTGCAGCAGCGCCACAAAGAAGTCCGCATAGTCAAACGCCACCTTGCCGTCCAGACAGATCTGATGGGGTGGGGCGGGTCGTGGGCGTGGGACGGCGGCATTCAGCACTGCTTGCATCAAGGGCTCGTCTCAGCGCATGTGCACTTGCGGTTCAGGGTAGCAGAATGAGCAGCAACAAATCCATTGTAACCCATGAGGGCTCCGCCTTAGCCCATGCAGGCGGCGTGCACTGACCTCGTGGATGATGCTGGCGACGGCGTCAGCGGGCCCATGGAAGCCACGGGAGTGCAGCGCGTGGGGCAGCGCCTCGATGGGCACCACTCCAGTGGCGTTGGGGTCCTGGCGACCCAAGTCGCCCTGCACCACGCGGATGTCTTCCTCACTCATTCCCTCCACCATCGCCTGCCGTGGGGGTGGGACCGTAGGGGTGCCAGGGGAGGATAGGGGACAAAGGGAGGAGCATAACTGAAACACGCCACGTGCGACCGCACCTCATTGTGGTGTCTTGGATGGACTTAGGAGAGAATGGAGCGATGCTACAGCGCAGTGCGTGTGCCCTGCCTTACGCTCCCTCCACCATGCCCAGCACACATGCAGCGCAACGCAACGCAACACAACGCAACGCATGGCAGCACCGTGTGGCACCCTCCCGTGCCTTGTTGCTGCCTCTCCTTGCTGTCAGTCCCACGCCCACTCCCTCTCACGCCCACCCGCTACTGCCACATGCACTGTGGCTGTGCCGCACTCACCCGGAGCGCCACCTTCTTGACCTTCTTGACTCACCCTGAGCGCCACCTTCTTGACCTTCTTGACTCACCCTGAGCGCCACCTTCTTGACCTTCTTGACTCACCCTGAGGGCCACCTTCTTGACCTTCTTGACTCACCCTGAGCGCCACCTTCTTGACCTTCTTGACTCACCCTGAGCGCCACCTTCTTGACCTTCTTGAGGCGCATGACGTAGAGGAACTGCTTGAAGCGGTCCACCACGTCCTTCTCCAACGGCTCGTCCGGCGCCCGCACTATCCACGTGTGCTCTGTGCCAGGTGAGGTGCGCACCATGCAGAATGCAGCACGATGGGAGAGGGGGGAGGTGCAGGGTGAGCGGGAACGGGGAATGGGAAGTGTGAGGAGGGGGGAAAGAGGAAAAGGCAGTGGAGTGGGAGAAGGAAAGAGGAAAAGGCAGTGGAGTGGGAGAGGGAAAGAGATTGCAAGAGCGGAGGAGAGGATCAGACGGACAAGCGGAAGCAGCAAGAAGAGGAAGGCAGGTGGCCTATGAGAGGAGCGTGGGATGTGAACTCCTGTGCCACCTCCGCTCCCGCAAGTGCCTCTCCGTCCTTCCCAAGCCAAAGCCCCACGCCTAGTGCCACCCCCAGTGGGCAGCAGCACACGCAACGTCACCCCACCGCCCTCTCTCTCCCTCGCTTGTCTCTTGCTGCCTTCCTCAACACACCTCTACAGCACTATGAGCAGCCCTGTGCTGTGTGCGGCACACCGTCACCTACCCAGCACCTGCTGCGCCGTGCCACACACGGTGGGGTCGGGTGCAGCATGGTATCTGCTCTCCCACCACTTACACCGCACCACATCCCACCTACCCACTATATCACAGGCACGCACCGAGCACCTGCTGTGCGGTGGGGCGCAGGGCGGGGTCGGGGTGCAGCATGGCGGCGATGAGGCTCTTGGCGTCCGCCGATATGCGCCCCCACACCGCCTCTCGGAACAGCCGCTGCGGCTGCAGTATCACCCGCCTGAACGCCCTCTCCGACCCTGGAGGGGGGAAGAGGGAGGGGGGATGCGGGGAGGAGGAGAGGCAAAAGGTTGGGGGTGAGAAGGATTCAAGTGGACACTAGCGTGGAGGACTGATCGCAGGGGGTTGGAAGGTGGGTGGTGCGTTGAGGAAGGGCAGCGAGAGACAAGGGAGCGATGTAGGATGGCAAGACAGCAAGCGAGGGAGAGACAAGGGAGCGATGTAGGATGGCAAGACAGCAAGCGAGGGAGAGATGGCGAAAGAGAGGGAGGGAGAGGGGAGAAAGGCAATTGGATGGTAACAAAGGGGGGAAAGGCAAGCATTTGTATCTTGGCTTGTCGGTTGAAAAGGTAAATAGCGGCGAGGCGAGAGGGGGAGAAGGTCCTTACGATCGGGGCCTTGCGGCAGGAAGGGGTAGTTGCCGGCGAGGAGGATGTAGAAGATGACACCACAGGCCCAGATATCCACGGGCGGGCCGTAGCGCTGCTTGCCCAGGTTCTCCCAGATGCGGATCACCTCCGGCGCCATGTACATGCAGCTGCCACACACCCGCGTGAATCCCTCGCCTGCCACATGCACACATGCCCACATGCACACATGCCCACATGCACACATGCCCACATGCACACATGCACACATGCACACATGCACACATGCACACATGCGCACATGCACACATGCGCACATGCACACATGCCCACATGCACACATGCACACATGCGCACACGCACACATGCAGTGACACAAGGGAGAGAGCGCACACGCACACATGCAGTGACACAAGGGAGAGAGCGCACACGCACACATGCAGTGACACAAGGGAGAGAGCGCGTGAGCACATCAGCACATGAGGTCCGGACGTCAAGGTGCTGCAGAGAGAGATGGTGGGGTGCCTCGCATTCCACTCCAACAGTGGCGCCACACCTTTCAACCGCTCTCTTGCCTCTCCCTGCACGCTCGCTCTCTCACCCCGTGCCAGCAGTCCCACCAGAAAAGAAGTGCGCCTCTCACGTGCGTCCCTCTCTCACCGGGTTTGAAGTAGGCAGCCATGCCGAAGTCAGCGGCCTTGAGCACGGCATCGGCGCCGGGCGAGGAGAAGAGGAAGTTCTCGGGCTTGAGGTCGCGGTGGATCACCCCGCTGCTGTGGCATGAGTGCACCGCCCGCACCACCGCCTTGCACAGCTTCGCCGCGTCGCGCTCACTGCCACTCGCGCACGAGGGGGTCAATGGGGGTTGAGGGGGATGGGATGTGTCGGGGAGAGAGCGGTGAGGCATGAACAGGGTACGAGGATGGTGTGGGTAATGGCAAGGTGAGGCCCGTGAGGGCAAGCGTCAAAGGCAAAAGTGGTGGAAGGGAGATGCTGAGTGCATGGCAGGTACATTAAGGCTGAGTGCATGGCAGGTACATTAAGGCTGAGTGCATGGCAGGTACATTAAGGCTGAGTGCATGGCAGGTACATTAAGGCTGAGTGCATGGCAGGTACATTAAGGCTGAGTGCATGGCAGGTACATTAAGGCTGAGTGCATGGCAGGTACATTAAGGCTGAGTGCATGGCAGGTACATTAAGGCTGAGTGCATGGCAGGTACATTAAGGCTGATATGTGCGACAGCTGTTTGCGATTGCACGATGCTGAGAACCTCACCAATCCCCTTGCTAACAGAACACCCATCCATGCTAACAGAACACCCATCCATGCTAACAGAACACCCATCCATGCTAACAGAACACCCATCCATGCTTCCCCACCGTCCTCCCCTCACCCAAGCGACAGCACCACGCTCCACCCAAATAGCCCTCCCACCCCTCCGCCCGCACCTGTAGGGCACGGTCATCTCATCGCAGCGGCGGTTGATCTCATCGAAGAGCTCCCCCCCGCTGCACAGCTCCATCACGATGTGGATGTCCCTCCGGTCCTCGTACGTCGAGTGCACTCGCACCACGTTCGGCTGCCCCTGCAGCCGGAACAGCACGCTCACCTGCCGTGGGGTTGGATGGGGAGGTGTGGCGATATGACAACTCGTTTCGCTGCTATGTGTGGTTTGGAAGGGTCGTTGCTATTGTCTTCATTGGAGGATGCATTTGACGCGTAGTCCTCTTTATTTGAAAACCCAGATGCTCGCAAGGGCGCTAGACCTGGTCCTCCATTTTTGTTTATTGACTTGCATACATGCATAGCATAGGAAAACACTAAACAACTAAGACTGTTGGTCCCAAATGCTAAACTTGAAATGGAATTGTAACAGGAAGTGCGCTCAGCTCGAGCATGTAATCTGCTGGTTTGTATACCGTATCACGGGTTCACAGAGAACTCAAAAGGGGGTGGGTGGGTGGGTGGGGTACGCTCGGGAGAGGCTGGGGAGAGGAGAATTATTTCAGCACTGCTGGTAAGCCCTGGCTGGCTGGCCCATCCCCATGTTTCTGGGTTCCAGGGACCCGCCTGTGTTGGATATGTTATTTGGTCGTCGCATGGCTATAGCCTAGACCAGGCAGCTGTGGTCGGCCTGGGTGGGGGGACCATGATCCTCTTGGAGGGAAGGGTAAGAGCCTCTTCAAGAGGAATTTTTCGGTCGAGTTTAATTTAACTCGAGGACGAGTTACAAAAAAACTTGTCATATTAGCGAGTTTCGAATCACAATTCATTCGAAAAGAACTCGAGAGTTTTTCCTCGACTCGACTGGACCAATCACCAAAACTCGCAAAAACGAGTCCAGTCAATGCAGGTCTTCCTTTGCCCGTGGATACTCACCTCTCCATGCGCACGTCCTCCACCGCCATGTGTTTTGAGACGTCTCAAATCACCACGTTGGGCTGGCCATGCAGGCGGAACAGCACGCTCACCTCCATGCGCACGTCCACTCACCTCCATGCGCACGTCCTCCACGTCTTCCACGGAGATGAGGGAGCTGCGCGCAATGGTCTTGCAAGCGTACCGCACGCCCGTCGCCTTCTCCACGCACACATACACCTTGCCGTACTGCCCCTCGCCCAGCGCCTTGCGCTCTATGTTGAACAGCGTGCGGATGTTGGCTGGGGGGCGGGTGGGCAAGCGGAAGGGGGTGGGGAAGAGAAGGGAGGGCAGAGGAGAGAGAGACAAGGAGAAGTGGGGAGTAATGGGAGGCGTGGAGGAGATGTGAGGGGAGGGCAGAGAGAATGAAGGGGGCGGGAGTGGAAGGGAGAGGAGTGGAGCAGCGGTGGTGATGGCAGTGGCAGTGAGCGGCGGCGGCTGCCTCCTGTGCCACACCAGTGACCAGCCAGAAACAGAGGCGCCTTTACCCGCCGCCACTCACCACTCACCACCCTCGCACGCATGGCCCCATATGACCAAGTACCCACTCCCGCCCCTGCACGCCCCCTTCCCAGAAGCACGGAGCAGCAACACGTGTGCATGCCGGGCAAGGAGAAGAGAGGGCGGGAAGGACTTGGGCGGGGGACTGCAGGTGAGTTTTGAGGCGCCTCAACTGTCGCCTCATGTGTGGAGGATGTGCATGGAGGGAATGATGATTGCATGCACGTGCGTGTGTGTGTGTGTCACCTTCACTGGTCACTTGAGTGCAGTATCGGTTACCAAGGCCAATCGCCCTTGTTGTCCATGCAAGGCTTACACCAAGGCACTCAAGTTACTTCACAATCTTGTTACCACAGACCCATTTGATTCGTGGGCTTATGGGTGGGGCAAGGGAAGGGAAAGAGGGGGGACGTGGGTGGGCTTACGGGTGGGGCCGCGGCCGAGCACGGAGGCGGTGAGACTTCTGCCGGGAGTGACAGCTGCCAGGGTGGGCGGCCAGCGCCGTGCGGGCAGCTGAATGCTCAGATCCATGTCCATGCCCATGCCCATGTCGCCTCCCCCCTGCTGCTGCTGCTGCTGCGAAGGCTGCGGCAGCTGAAAAGAGACGTGGTTTTGCTGCTGTGATGGGCGTGGCTGGGGCGGCGGCATGAGGCCGTGGGGGGGCGGAAAGGCCTGCTGCTGCGGGTGGTACGGCTGCTGCGCCTGCTGCTGTGGGTGGTGCCAGGGGGCGAGCGGGGAGGGGCCGTTGGAGGAGGGCGCGGAGGAATTGGACGCCTGGTGAGGGCGGGGGGGGGGGGGGGGTAAGGGGGGCGAGGAGAGAAGGGAAACATGCATGGATGAGAGTGATGGCGAGAGGGGAGAAGGGCGGTGGGGAAAAGGAGGGTTGAGAAGAGAGTGTGAGCGAGTGAGAAAGCAATGGCTCAGCAGCATGGGGGACGACACACCCGTGTGATGCTGGGCTGTGACGTCAGCAGGGGAAAGCAGGGAGGAAGTCACATGTGTCACTTGTGTGGGCCCATCTCTGAAAGACAGACCCTCCCTAGCCTACCGAGGGAGCAGCATACCATGGAGAAAGTGGGCGAGTGGAGGGGCAGGTGGTGCGTGGTGCGCGCGCAGAATGGATTCAGCAGCACCTCCAGGGATGTCAGGCACGTCCCCACGCAGTCGCCTGTGCGCCGCACGCCCTGCTGCTGCTGGAACAGAAACAGCTGATGCTGCTGCTGGTGCTGCTGCTGCTGAAACAGAGAGAAATCCGGCTGCTGCTCTAGCTGCACCCCTCCCTGAAGGCCCTGCTGTTGCTGCTGCAAGAACAAGGTGTATTGCTGCTGCTGCTGCTGCTGCGGAGAAGCGAGGGCGGCGCGCACGTGGGCGGGCCACGGGATGAACACGTCGCCGTTCGCCTGCTGCACGCCCGCGCTACCCGCGGCGGGGGACGCACGGATGTCCCACGGGGGGATGGCCGGGGCGGACCCAGGGACGGTGGTATCAGGAATGACAGTATCAGGCGCGGCGGTATCAGGCGCGGCAGAATCAGGGGCGGCGGAATCAACGGCGGCTTGTCGGGGGAACGAGGGGAGGGCGCGCGCAGAGGAGCAGCTGGCGACGCTGCTGGCGACGCTGCGATCGGAGGAGAAGACGGTGTTGCTGCCGCTGCTGCTGCGACCCGACGATGACATCCACGGCGCGAGTCACGCGCGGGCAGTCATGCGCGGATGTCACGCGCGAGAGTCATGCGCGGAGTGTCATGCGCGGAGAGTCAGTGGGATGACGTGCGGGGAACGCCACTGGCGGACGTTAGCAGTTAAAGGTAGGCAGGTTAAAGACTGAAGCCAATGGCGGAAAGGGAGGGTGAATAGCGGAAGGCTAATAACGGAGACTATGAACAAAGGACTATCGGCAGCCGGTTGGGAAATTCGCGGACGCGTTTTTAGAGTGAGACAGCCCCAAGCACGAGAGCGGGGCGACGAGCGCCGAGCGAGGAAGGAGGGCAGAAACGGATAGACAGGTGGGGTTCGAGAAAAATAGCACGGTAGATAGCGACTAAGCGTCGTCGCTCAAGGCTTTTATTGAATGGCTGAACCGGGTTCGACGCCGACGCTGCCAGTGCGACCAACACATCGTCTTCGCGAGAACGCTGAGAGGCACCTGGTAGCGCGGTAGTCGTGGCAGAGGCGGCTAGACGAAGCACCTCGACAATGTCGAAGCACGGGTTGGGACGACCATGGGAGATTAGTGCGCGACGAGGAGGTCCGAGATAATGACGCGTTCGTGTGGCGTGACGCTATTACCGAAATGTAAAGCAACACGCGACTAGGCAATTTCACCTTTCACGTCTCAAGCGTTGTGAGTGAGGTGAGGAGCCGTCTTGGGACTGAACAGTAGCTGTCAAGCCCTTGGGAGTGTCAACTGAGTTCACTTTATTACGGTGGTATGCGATGTTGTGCGTCTCAAAATGGCTCGTATAGATGTGCTTGCGTTTGGGTAGGGTTTCGGGCGAAAACGAGCTTGGATGTCACGCCCTAGGATCGAGCAGATCAGGCACGTGAAGGAAGATGTCCGACATGAGTGGAACAGAGTATTGAAGGTGTGTTTCTAAAGTATCTGCCCGTATTGAAATACTGACGTTTCCGCGATCTGTTTTGAAGGGGTGGCACTCACGTTTCCTGCTGCACTTGCCATGATCCAATTGGGGTGAAACACATTTTATCTGGTAACGGACTGTCGCAAGTCCACTGGCGAGCATAATCGGCCCCATATCGCATCCCTTCCGCATTCGCGAAACTCGCGAGGATGATCCGAGGAAAGGAATGCGCCACGACCCCTACCTCGGCAGGGAAACACATCGAGAAAAATGGAGACCTGACGGACAGTCCCAAAACTGCTGCCCCACTGCTCCAGTGCCTCACTCACTCCCGCGCAACTGTGTCAGGGACTGTTTGAGCTGCCACGTGGTCTACCCTTTGTGATGAGTTGTTAGGATTTTGCAAAGCAGATATTTAATAAAAATATATACGGTAACGAAGGCTTACATTTCATTTTCCCTGTTACAATATGGAACTGCTGAGTTAACATCTATAAAGTAACACAAAGTAGTTTGAATCGAAAACAAAGATCGAGCGTCAAAATCACTTAGCGAAAACGGTTACAATAAGAAATAATTGAACTATCATGCGGAAGGATGTAATAAAGGATAATGAATCAACTTGAAGCATTCCTGTTCGTAACAGAAGTTATTGTTGGAAACAAGTAATTTAACGCTTCTGAAGTATCGAAGCAATAACACGAAACGGAGCAAACTACAGCGAAACAACACGCGAGTCAACAAACGTAATAGCTGGAGCAGGGCTGATTTTATCAGGGTAATTACCCTGATTTCAGGGTGATTTCAGACTTGTCACTTTCTGGACCCTGAGAAATCAGGTTTTTCACATTTTGGTCCCTGATCCATTCAGAGTATTGCTTTAGCGGACCCTGAAATTTTGTGTACACTCTTAGTGTAGGGTTTTCACGGACCATGTCAATACAGAGTACGAGGCCTGTGGACCCTGAATGCGATGTTATCGGGGCGAAGTTTCTCGGAAATTTCCTCCTGATAACCCCTTCGCATTCATTTCAGTGCCCCTCACGTGCGTAATCCCCCCCCCCCTCGCTTTATCGAGACGAAGTTTCTTCGAAGTTTCGTTCCCATACACCCACCATCTAGATCGGGCGAATCTGTAATGTCAGATTTTAGGTTGCTGTTATTGGTCGAAATTGTGAAGAAAGAAAACAGGAATGAATGAATCAGAGAAGAGAGTGGAGCGGAAGTGAGGAGGTTCACTAGCAAACATTGGGATACATATAGCAAACCCTAAAAGGGTTGTACTCACTATAGAGTACCCCACTGCAGACTAGAGAAACATAATATTCTGACAGAAATAGATGTGCTCTAACACAGCGCCAGTCACATCGCCACAGTGCCAGTCACATTGCCAGTCACATCGCAAGTCACAGCGCGCCAGTCACAGCGCCAGTCACAGTCACCCTTGCGACACCAACAGCAGATTCGACCTCTGCTCCGTACGGAAATCCCTTTTGCGCTAGGTCAAGGCAGATTTTGCTTGAATTCCCCGTAGACTGTCAGATTTCGAGCAGATGTTGCGATTAGTGTAAAGAATGAGACTTCTGATTGAGTGAGACTTCTGTCCTCGGTAAAGAAAGAGCGCGTTACTACGACCCTGATTTTCAATTCTCGACCCTGAACATTCAGAGTTCACTACTTCTCAACCCTGAGCAATCAGGGTGCTGTTTTTTCTGGAAAATGTGCCTTCACGGATTTTTATTTTTATTTTTTTGTAGGTTGAACTCAGGGTACCTAAATTTGAATCGTCAGCCCTGAGCGAAGGTCAAAGGTCGCTGACCTTTGACTCGACGAAAAATACAGCGCCACAGCAAGGACAAATAACTGTTAGAATGAGGAACGGAATGAATGAAACAGAAAAGAGGAGAGAAGAGGAGTTTCACTAGCAAGCATTTGAGTACATATAGCAAACCCTAAATTGGGCTGTACTCGCTATTGAGTACCCCACTGCAGGCTAGACAAATATAACATTCTGACACACCCCCATAGCCAAAGTGGGGTGTAATCAGCACAACAAGCAAGGCAAAAACAAACTCAAGGTGGATCACGACGTCACCACACATTCTGAGCACAAGTACAAGAAGCAGCAGTTTATAGTTCACAAATATAAGCAAAGCTAGAGGCAGTCACAGACGGTAAGTGAGGAGGAGGAGGGACTGTGAGAGGAGAGGAGATAGAAGACGACAGGTGAAGCTGCAGAAACACGGGCAACCGGAGCGGCGCGCACTGTGGCTACCGGAGATTGTAGCCTCCGGACTACTTGAGTAACTGGCTCCGCGGCTAACTCTGAGCAGCAGGAGCAACGGACCCACGGGCGACTGGCGCAGCAGGCTCGCTGGGCTACCGGAGATTGTAGCCTCCGGGCTACTGGCGCTGCTGGCGACACGACGGCTGCCTCCGCCCAACCTCCCTCTAACTGTCTCACCCCCCTTTCACACACCCCCTGCTGCACCTCTAACACTGCTCACACGCCACCCCCTTAGTACTACTCCGACAGCTCCCACACATCCACCCCCCTCAGCGGCAGCTGCAGCAGTGGGAGACGGAGGAGGAGGAGGAGCAGGGGACGGTTCACACAACCGCCACCCCCACACTCACCACCCCGCAGTTGCACGAGGACAGGAGGCGGCAGGGGCAGCTCCGGGCTGCAGGGGTGGCACGCGGGCTGCAGAAGGGGCAGCGCGGGCCCCCGAGGGCGCCACAACGGGCGACGGGACGGGGGGGGGGAGGGGGGGGGGTGGGCGCGCGCTGGCCCCCGAGGGCGCCACGACGGGCGACTGGGGTGGGGGCCTGTCAGAATATTATGCTCTAGCCTGTAGTGGGGTGCTCTATAGCGAGTACAACCCTTCTAGGGTTTGCTATTTGTATCCTCATTCTTGCTAGTGCAACCCTCTTCTTCCTTTTAAACTTTCACATGCTATCAGAGCAGGTCGATCCCCTTGGATCGATCCTGTGGGTGGTCTTACCACCTCGTTGCTTCCGCTGCAACTTCCACTGCTACCCTCTGTGCCGCACGCCCCGTGGCGTGCGGCAGTTTTTCTTCCCGCCGTGCGCCCCGAGGCGCGCGGCGGTTTTCTGCCCGCCGTGCGCCCCGTGGCGCGCGGCGGTTCTCTGCCCGCTGTGCGCCCCGAGGCGCGCGGCGGGCTTCTGCCCCGTCACTCGGCGCGTCGCCCTCGGGAGGCGCTGCGACGGGCGACGGGGACCCGCGCGTCGCCCCCCGTCGCCCGTTGTGGCCTGCGCGCGGCCCGTACAGGCTGCGCGCGGCCCGTACAGGCTGCGCGCGGCCCGTAAGGGCTGCGCCAGGCCCGGACGCGGCCCGTACGGGCTGCGCCAGGCCAGCGCGCGGCCCGTACGGGCTGCGCCAGGCCCGCGCGCGGCCCGTACGGGCTGCGCCAGGCCCGCGCGCGGCTCGGGCCGCCTGCGCGCGGTTCGGGCGGCTGTGCCAGGCCCGTGGGCGGCCCTTTCCTCGCTGCCCCTGCCCTCCCCGCTGTCCCCCGTGCTTCTACTGGCGCCCCACCCCTCCTACAGCCCGTTCTCCTGAATTAGGGTTTGGGGGTGAGGGGTATGGGGGTGAAGCCACTGTGTGCCGTTCCCTGCTCCTCCTCCTCCTCCGTCTCCCTGTGCTGCAGCTGCCGCTGAGGGGGGGTGGACTTGTTGGAGCCGTTGGAGTGGTACTAAGGGGGGGTGAAGGGGGAGTGGAGCTAGCGGTGTAGCAGCGGGTGTGTGAGAGGGGTGTTGGGCAGCTGGGGGAGGTTAAGTGGAGGCAGCAGTCTTGTCGTCAGCAGCACCAGCAGTCCGGAGGCTACAATCTCCGGTAGTCGCCAGTCGCCTGTGGGTCAGTCGCTCGTCTGCCGCTACTTTTAGCCGCGGAGCCAGTTACTCCTGTAGTCCGGGCCTTTGCTTCGGTAGCCACTGAGCCAGCAGCTCGTCTGTGTGTCTGCAGCGTCAGCAGTCGCCTCCCATCTTCTCTCCCCCACAGTCTCTCCTCCTCCTCACTTGCCCTCTGTGACTACCACTAGCTTTGCTCATAATTGTGAACTTTAAACTATTGCTTCTTGAACTTGTGCTCAGAATGTGTGGTGACATTGTGATCCACCCTGAGCTTGTACTGCTTTACTTGCTCTGCTGATTACACCCCACTTTGGCTATGGGGGTGTGTCAGAATATTATGCTCTAGCCTGTAGTGGGGTGCTCTATAGCGAGTACAACCCTTCTAGGGTTTGCTATTTGTATCCTCATTCTTGCTAGTGCAACCCTCTTCTTCCTTTTAAACTTTCACAGGGCCGCGCGGGCCCCCGAGGGCGCCACGACGAGCGTCAGGAGGGGGCCACGCGCTGGCCCCCGAGGGCGCCACGACGGGCGTCAGGAGGGGGCCGCGCGCTGGCCCCCGAGGGCGCCTCGACGGGCGACGGGAGGGGGCCGCGCGCGGGCCCCCAAGGGCGCCACGTCGGGCGACGGAAGGGGGGGCGCGCGGGCCCCCGATGGCGCCACGACGGGCAACGGGAGGGCCGCGCACGAGCCCCCGGGGCGCCGCGACGGGCGACGAAACCGCCGCGCGCCACGGGGCGCACGACGGGCAGAACAGGGCGCCGCGCTGCCCCCAAGGCGGCGCGACGGGCAGAAAACCGCCGCGCGCCCCGAGCGCGCGGCGGGAAGAAAAAAATGCCGCGCGCCAAGGGCGCACGGCAGGCAGGAAAACAGCGCGCGCCCGAGGCGCGCGATAGGCAGGACAGCAGCAGCGGAAGCTAACGGTGGGCCCATGCACAGGATCGCCCTGGGAGGGTGGACCTGCTCTGATTCCATGTGAGAATAAGGAACGGAATGAATGAAACAGAAAAGAGGAGAGAAGAGGAGTTTCACTAGCAAGCAGTTGAGTACATATAGCAAACCCTAAATTGGGCTGTACTCGCTATTGAGTACCCCACTGCAGGCTAGACAAATATAACATTCTGACAATAACTGACTCGATATTGAGCAGTTACCCGAGTCGTCACTGTATCGAACCGCAAGAGCAAAAACAGTTAAAGTCGCATCTCTTCGTATTCATTGTAATCATATATATATTCTTGTATCTCTTTGCTTTAATCAATTTATCTTGCTCTCACACACTAGTGCAAGGTGGTTCAGTAAAATTATCATTACGCTTCCGCAACTACAACATTCCTACTCAAAGGTCTTAGCCTTGAAAAAGGTCCTAAGGGCTGTTTTCAGCCCAACATGGTATGAGAGCCTCCAAGGCAAGATCAACTACTACAACTTCTACAACAACACAAGACATGGCAACTCAGAAGGAGAGGAGCTCCTCCAACGGATCTCCCGGCACTACTCCTACTCCACCTCCAGCCTCTGGCCTACAGACAGAGGAAGGCACAGCAACAAGACCAGCTGCGGAGTCTACCGAAACTCCCGGGAATCAAGCAGCAGGCTTCGACCCAAGCATGATGGAGAAATTTTTCTCCTTCATGTCTTTCTACGAGCAACACCAGCAAGCAGCTCCTGCGCAATCAAACAACAGCGACAACAACAACAGGGTTACTCCAATGAGCCTTGACGGTTCATCCTATGCGCGCGAAAACCAGCAGCAACCTACCTTTGCTCCGTACGAACCTCAACGTGGCTCCATCAGCTTCACGCCACACCAACAGCCTTCACCTGGACAAGAGAAGACACTGGATGCACTTCAGGTTCAATCACAGTTCGCACATGTTTTAAAACCGCAGACATCGACACTCTTCGACGGAAAAGACTTCTATACCTGGTCATTTGAGTTCGAGCTGATGATGGAGGGCGCGCAAATTCTTGGATTCTTCAACGGGTCCCTGCCATACCCAACACATGGGACACAATATGACAAGCAGCAGTACACATATCAATCACTGATGGCGTACACGATACTTCTACGAAATCTATCTCCAAACGAGCAGCAGAACATCCGGTCTTATCGAGGATACGTCAATTCCGCCGAGCTAGCGTACGACCACCTGAAGAATCTGTATCAAGCAATAGACAGCGTTAATCAAAGTCATTTCATGGCACAGCTGACAACAGTGGAAATGAAACCCGGCGAAAAGGGAATGGCGTATATCAGCCGTTGTCGTGGACTGCGCGACAGACTCCTTCGATGCGGAGGATCGATATCCCAAGAAGCCTTCGTAACAGTTATCATCGCTGGCCTCGGTCCTCATTAGCGCTCCACTCGAGCACTCCTCCGAGCTCACGGGAAGATCTCCGAAGCAGCACTCTACGCCGAAATTCACGCTGAACAGCAGGACATGGATCTACACGAAGAATGATACAAGAAAAGAGCGTCAGCAGTTCGCGTTTCACACTCAACGGCGCTACAACAACAACAACAATTGACAAAACAACTGTCAAGTTCAACAGTACGTCCCACCGTTCTGTCACATCTGCAAGACGCCAGGACATCCTCGTACACACTGCCCGAATCACCAGCAGTCGACGTCGTCGCAACGTCAACTTCGGCCCTCAAGCAGTCAAGTGGCTTCTACACAGGCGCATCCAACCAATCAAGTACAGTCCTCAACATCTTCAACGACAAAACCTGCACAAGGAACAAGAAACATCGTGAGCTGCATGACAAGAACGACAGACTCCTGCATCACCGGATCACCACCGTTGTACTCACCAGAAGAACAGCTCGACGAGAGCACTCCTCGCCGCGAATCACTGGAGCCCAACCCGACATATGCAGCCATCGCCCTGAGCGAGCCGTCCGGGAAAGACACCTGGTCGGACAGCTGTTGCGGACAGCACATGTGCTCTTTGGGTCACTTCGTTCAACAGGAACACCAACTTCAGCGCGAAGTTGTAATCACCGTTGCCAACAACTAGAACCTGGACACATGACGACAAGGAATTGTTCAACTTCAATCTCGAGAAATCAACGTTATTCTACAAATGTCGAAGGTTTTAATTGCAGAAGGACTCGAGTACAACTTACTTAGTGTCAATCAATTAATGGTGAAGGGCATTCATCTCGAAGCAGATAGCACCACTCAAGAGTTCAAGTTATACCACGGAAAGGGCGGACTCTACATTGGCAAGGCGGTCTTGAAGAATAACGTCTTCGTTCTTGACTTCGTTCCGGACCAAGGCACCGCCGACAGCGACGCCATCGTCAACTTCGCCTCTTGGACACATCCACCAGATCTTGACCCCAACTTCAGTCCTGGAGGATTCTAGTACTCACACACCATACCTGAAGCAAAAAGAACAAGAGCGTTAGCAACAATTCCGCAAGCAGAGATAACATCCGCAACAGCAGAGACAACATCGGCAGCAGCAGAGACAACATCAGCAACAACATCGGTAGCAGAAACTACGACACCAATTGCGGGTTCTTCGACGGCACCATCTCTCATCGACGATACTCCACCGACTCCTGCGCAGCAGTTGACTCCCACTCCACGCGAAGTTCACGGAAGCGCCAACCTCACAGCGAGTTTTTATTCCAACTCCGACCTGTACAGGCGCTCACGAGGACATCGTGCGAGCGAATCACTGTGGCACGAAAGATTGGGACATCCAAGCAACACAACGTTAAACAACACGATAAAGGCAACAGTAATCGAAAAAGATTCCTTACTTTTAACCGACAGCAGAGAACTTCAACGAGTCCGAGGTACATGTTTTACCTGTCCCGAAGCCGACTTACCTCATCAACCGTTTGTCTCTCACCACAATCCAAGCGCGCCAGCTTACGCACCATTGGAGAAAGTCTACAGCGACATCTTGTATACTCGCGAACATGGACAGGGAGCATACAACTATGTGATTACCTTCATCGATGCCGCCAACCGATACGTCTGGCATCTCAACCTTCCAAGTCGCGACATGGCCTTCGAAGCCTTCGTTGCCTGGCTACCTGTGGCAGAACGAGAATTAGGAGCGAAGTTGAAAAGCTTCCAGTCAGACGTGGGAGGAGAATATCAGTCACAAACGTTCAAGCAGTACCTCGCAGAACGAGGCATCAAGCGACTCAACTCGCTTCCCTACGCCCATCAACAGCAAGGCGTGGCAGAACGGATGAACAGAACTCTCCAGAACACCATGCGCAAACTGTTGCGCGGCATGCGACTGCCCAACCACCAGTGGCCTGAGGCGATGGACCACGCTGTCATGCTGCACAACTTGCTCTCGTCATCATCGCTCCCGAACAACGCATCACCGCACCTGCTGTGGACAGGAAAACTGGGCAACACAAAAATGTTACGAGTTTTTGGGTGCATGGTACAGTACCGACCGCACACTGCAAGAGCCGGAAGATTTTCCCAACGCGCACAGTGGGGGCTACACCTGGGCATCAAAAAGCACTACAACGCATGGAAGATTTTCGACGTCCACTCGAAGGAAACAGTAGCAGCACGTGATATCTTCTACGAGCGACTCATGTGAGAATAAATGAGAGGAATGGATGAACTAGAAAGGAGGTGGGTACAAATAGCAAACACAAAAGTGTTGTACCCTCTAAGGATTACCCCACTACAGCCTAAAGAGACTATAGCATATATAAGTTAGACACACCCCCATAGGCAAAGTGGGGGAGAACAAGGGGTCACAAGACCAGTCAAGAAGGCAAAGCAAGCTCAGGGTGGATCACAAAGTCACCACGCAGTCTGAGCACAAGCACAGGGCCACAAGGCCAGTTCACATGCAGAGTTATATAAAGGAAAGCAAAAAATTACAGTGAACACAACCTAGCAAGTGTAAGCATGCAGGTATAAGTATATAGAGTACAGTACAAGCAGAGTCAAGAAGTCAACAAGTGAGGCACAGTAGGCACAAGGCCTAGAACAGTGCAGGAACGCTGATGATTACAAGGCTGAAGTGCCTTGGTGAAAACATCAGCAGTGTTGGCTTGAGAGGCCACGTAAGCAAGATGAAGCTGGCCACGCTGCTGCAACTCTCGAGCAAGGAAGTAGCGCAGAGCAATGTGCTTCGTTCTGTGCTCCAGTCTGTGCTCCTGACACAAGGCCAGCATGGCCTTGTTGTCGACGTACAGAACTGGAGGAGAACGAGGCGCCTCTCCCAAGTCGGTCAGCAGGTAGGTAAGCCAGCGTAGCTCCTGTGCAGCCATGGCCCCAGCGTAGATCTCAGCCTCACAACTGGAGCTGAGAACAGAAGAAGAGAGGGTAGACCGCCAAGAGACAGAACCGGAGCCAAGACTGAAGGTGTAACCCTGTGACGACCGCTGCGTAGCCAAGTCGTCAACCCAGGAGGCGTCAGCGTGACCAGTGAGGACAACTCGAGCCCATCCTCCAAGCACGAGCCCCATGCCCGATGTACTGCACAAGTATCGCAAAACCCTCTTCGCAGCATCCCAGTGCACCTTTCGGTGCCTGCCGGGAGCCACGTAGCGAGCCAGAAAACTGAGAGGGTATGCGAGGTCAGGTCGTGTGCAAGTCATCAGGTACATGAGGCAGCCCACAAGCTCTGGATATGGGCCACTTGGCTCTATGGACTCGTCCGAAGGTGGAGCTGAGAGCGAGTGACCGGTAGGCAGAGGAGTGGACTGTGGCGAGGAGTACGTGAAGCTGAAGCGTTGAAGGACCTGCTGCACCATGTGTGACTGAGTCAAGGTAATGGTGCGCTGTGCTCTGTCCCGGGTGATCCGCAAGCCAAGATAGCTTGTCAGCTCACCCAGGTCTGTGCACGTGTGTCTCTTCTGCAGCTCGGACTTCACGTGGGCGAGTGCCTCAATGTCAGTAGTAGCAAAGACGAGGTCGTCTACGTACACGAGAACGTAGAACGGCGGTAGAGTAGTGTCAGTGCGTAAAAACAGAGAAGGGTCAGAAGTGGAAGGAGCAAAGCCAAGAGCAGCAAGAGTCGTCCTGAGTGTGTCGTGCCACTCACGAGGTGCCTGACGGAGACCGTAGACTGGCCGCCGGAGGCTCCACTGGGTACCAGCAGGAAACGACCCAGTGAAGCCTGGAGGGCGGCGCAGCCAGATCTCCTCGTGCAGGCTGCCTTGGAGGAAGGCTGTACTGAAGTCAAGCGAGTGGAGCTCGTAGTCACGCTGGGCGGCAACGTGCAGCAGTACCCGAAGAGTGGTCATCTTCGGGGTAGGGGAGAAGGTCTGGAAGAAGTCAACTCCTTGTCGCTGACTGAAGCCACGTGCAACGTAACGCGCCTTGAAGACAGGCGGAGAACCCGGCGGCCGCTTCACCCTGAAGATCCACATGCCACTGACGATGTTCGCACCAGGCGGGGGAACCTCGTCGACGTAGGTGCCTGTGGACTTCCAGGAAGCCATCTCGGCGTCCATGGCTTCCTGCCACTGAGAGGAGTAGGGACCCTCTATCGCCTCTGCGTAAGAGCGCGGGGTCGGGATGTCTGGTGCATCCGGGTCTCCCTCAGGGGCAATCAGCATGGACACGAGATGAGGTACAGAAGCAGCAAAGCACTCAAACTCCTCCTGTCTGTCCTCAAGAACGTCCGTGCCAAGAGCACACTCACCCCCGACGGACGGAGGACAGACAGACGCAGACGCCGACTCAGCAACAAGACTAGTGGCGTAGTCTAGACGATAGGCTGCAGCAAAGGCAACAAGCTCAGTAACAAGAGCAGACGCAGCAGTGGACTCAAACAAAGGGTTAGTGACAGCAGTGGCTAGAAAACGCGTGACAGCTGGACTAGCAGCACGGAGAGAGTCAGACGCAGGGTCCGGACCGGCAGGAAGAGAGGACGCAGGAGGAGACGGCAGAGGGATACGCTGCGGAGCAGTGGAAGGACGCAGAGTCATAGAGTGAGTGCCAGGGACGGACAGGCGACGCAGAACGAGACTCAGGCGACACAGGACGAGACGCAGGCTCACGACGCTCCGTAAGACCTCTAGTCGGTCCAGAGAAAGGAGAAGGACCAGGCAGTGGAGAGGCTGGCTCGAACCGCGACTGGGACTGGACAGGCGGTGGACTCAGGAAAGGAGGAGGAGGACCAAGAGAAGGCGGGGAGCCAAGAAACTGCTGAAGAAGCGGAACGTAGTACGGCCGCGGCCGCGCAGCGCCTCTAGAAACAGCAGAGACAGAACTGGTACCCTCAGCCCTAGGGTCTCCAGTCCCAGCAGCACCTCCAGCAGCTCCAGCACCAGCAGCTCCTCCTGCAGCTCCAGCACCAGCAGCACCTCCAGTAGCTCCAGCACCAGTAGCACCTCCAGCAGCTCCAGCACCAGCAGTACCTCCAGCAGCTCCAGCACCAGCAGCACCTCCAGCAGCTCCAGCACCAGCAGCACCTCCAGCACCTCCAGCAGCTCCAGCACCTCCAGCAGCTCCAGCACCAGCAGCACCTCCAGCAGCTCCAGCAGCTCCAGCACCAGCAGCAGCTCCAGCAGCTCCAGCACCAGCAGCACCTCCAGCAGCTCCAGCAGCTCCAGCACCAGCAGCAGCTCCAGCAGCTCCAGCACCAGCAGCACCAGCACCAGCAGCACCTCCAGCAGCACCAGCACGAGCAGCACCTCCAGAAGCCCCAACAGCACCCCGATAGCGCCGAGAGTACCACTCACGAAGCTGCTGTGGTGAGAGAGGCTCCCGCCGCGGCGGGACACCTAGAGCAACTCTAGACTCAGCACGCGCAGGCTCAGCACCTCCAGACACAGTACCCTCAGGCTCCACATGCCCAGGCTCACCCAGGCTCAGCACGCCCAGACTCAGCACCCCCAGTCCCCGCACCCCCAGTCCCCGCACCCGCAGGCTCAGCACCACCAGACTCAGCACCCCCAGTCCCCGCACCCGCAGGCTCAGCACCCCTAGTAGCACCTGAGTCGACAGCTACCTCGACCGGCTCGGCAGGGTCTACCTGGAACACACCTGAGGGGGCAGGACCCTGGGGGGGAAGGGGGTCTACCGGGGGAGTACCTGGTGTGAGGAAGAGTGGCGGGGGGGGGGGGGGGAGAGGCAGTGCGGTAGGGAAAGAGACGGTAGTACGACATCGACTCATCAAACATGACGTCCTGAGAGGACAGAACATGACGCGAGGTGGGGTGGTAGAACTGCCACCCAGGTGTGTCAGGAGGGAAGCCAAGGAAGACACAGGGAACGGCACGGGAGGACAGCTTGTCCGCTGTAGTATCGCGGACAAAAGCTCGAGATCCCCAGACACGGAACGCGGACGCATCGCCAACCTTCCCCGTCCACCGCAGAGTAGGTGTGGTCTCCGGCAAGGAGACACGAGGCTGAAGGTTGATCTGATGCGCAGCGTACTGAACCGCGAACGGCCACAGAAAATGGGGAGCAGCCGCATGGATCATGGACGTACGAGCGACGTCCATGACCATGCCAATGCGGCGCTCAACAATCCCATTTTGCTGCGGGGAGGCCAGAAGCGTGAACGTCTGGCGGATGCCCTCCGAACGACAGAAGGCTCTCAGGAGGTCGGAGGAAAACTCCCCACCTCTGTCTGAGTGCAGACGCAGAACAGGAAGGTCCGAGCCGAAACTCTCACAGAGCTGGCGACGAGCACCGCGGATCCAGTCGATCAACACCTCAGGGACCTCACCCTTGCTGCGCAAGGGGAAGACTGTGGTGTAACGCGAGTAGTCGTCAACGACCAGCAGGAAGTAACGCTCGTGACCCTGTCCACGGACGCGGGCTGGGCCCCACACGTCCATGTGAAGAGTCTGCAGAGGAGCCTCAGTCGGAGGGAACGAGGAGGAGTGAGGAGCGGCACGCTGCCTGCCCTCGACACAAGGAACACAGGTGGGGGCAGGCCCCGGAGGAAGGGGAGGGAGGGACTGGGGTAGACCCGAGACAAGGGCACGGGAGGCCATACCTCGAAGACGAGGCAGGGAGGGGTGACCAAGGCGGTGGTGCCAAAGGAGAGTCTCGTGCGACAGAGGACGACACGAGCAGGGGGCAGACGCAGGACTAGACCTGGACGCAGCAGCAAACACCTGACTAGACGCAGCTACCTGACCAGACGCAGGGACCGGAGGAGGCGCAGTAGTCAGTGTGTACAGACTCGATCCTGGCCGACGGGTGAACGTGGCCAGGTGGCGGCCCGTCCGAGAGCAAGTGCAGTGGGTCACACGCTGACCTCCAGGGGTGAACTGGTCAACCCACGTGTCCTGGAGGTCAGCTCCACTCACCAAGTTCGTAGAGAACGAGGGGAGGTGGAGTCCCGACAGCAAGCCCGACGGGGCCGCAGGACACGGTAGAACCGTGGAGGAGTGTGCAAGGACTGGGCCCCCGGAGGGGTCAGCAAGGGAGACTGCAACAGGCCGACTAAGCGGCGTGAGCGTGGTGCTGTCTCTAAAGAAAGAGCGCGAAGCACCAGAGTCAAGTGTGAAAGTGTGCAAGGACTCAGTAGGTGCAGTACCAGAGAGAGCAGACGCACCAGCACCTGGAGCAGCAGACGCACTAGCACCTAGAGCAGCAGCCGCAATGCCCGGGTCGGGCGGGACACTCAGGTAACAGTCACCCTCAGCACTATCAGCAATAGCATACATGGCAGCAAGGATAGCATCAAAATCTAGATCAAAGATAGTCACATTCTGCTGAAGCAGATCATGCCAGCGAGGGAGCTCAACGGCGTCAGGAAACTGAGCACGCCAAGCGTCAGTCAAGCGACCGAAGTAGCGCTGCGTAGTGTGTGGGAGCCCACACACCTCCCCACTACGAGGGCCGGTGCGAAGAACGTAAGTGCAGGGACCTGCACCCCCAGACCTCCCCAATCACGAAGCTGCTGAACCGACGGGGTGTCACGGGAGCGCAGCTGCTGCTGGCGCTGGCTGCCACCAAAGCCTCCATGCTGCGCGGCTGCACCTCGACCAGCACCGCCGCCGCCGCCACCTCCACCACCGCTGCCGCTGCCTCCACCACCTCCGCCACCATTGCCACTACCTCCACCGCCGCCACTGACGCCCCCACTCCCGGTACCACCTCCACCTCCACCGCCACCTCCTCCGCCCCCTCCACCTCCTCCACTGCTTCCCCCGCCGCCCCCCCCACCACCCTTGCTCCCCTTGCCCCTGCTGTTGCGGCGTCTCCCACTAGGGGCAGACGCAGCTCCGACCTCCTCAGTGCCAACGAGGTCGACAGCAGCAGCAGAAGCAACAGAGGGGAGAAGGGGGACAGGGGAACACCCCTCAAAGAAAGGGGTGCGACGGTCGCCGCGAGAAGCACCTACAGCTAAGATACTCTTCTCAGCCGCAGCAAGGCGCTCCTCTAGCAGGTCGACAGTCAGCTCGGTGGGGCAAAGGGAGAGAAAGTGATCCCTGACTGAAGAGAGGGAGTCAGGGAGGCGGGTGACTAGGTAGTAAAGGGTGATGTACATGGGGGGGGGGGGTTCTTGGCACAGAACTCAGTGGGAAGGGCAGCGCGGTAGCGGGCGTCACTAGTGCGAAGGTGAGCAACTAGGTCAGTAACTGTGGCAAAGGCGGCAAGGTCAGGGAAAAGGTACGGTAGCATGAGGCGGCTGAGGGCAACAGTGGCAGGGGAGGAGTAGCGTGCAACTACAGCGTCATACAAAGACTGAGCAGTCTTGTACTGGCCAAAATGCGCGCGCTCAGCAGGCGGCAGGTGACCACGAACAGCAAGACGAGCAACGGCGTTACGAGTGGTCCACTCCGAGCGAACTGTACTGTCAGCAGTGGCAGCAGGAGCAGTGGAAACACCGGACGTGTGATAAAAAAGGGATACCCCATCCCTAGAATCACACTGAAGAAAAAGCTGTAGGTCGTCAACCCACACGTCAAAGTCAACTGCACGTCCCTCAGCATCGAAGGTGAGTACGGTAGGACTAGCCATAGCAGTAGTAGGAGCAGTGCAAGGAAGTAACAGTGGCCTAGCTACAGCAGCAGCAGTAGCAGCGCGACTCGGTAGGGTGGGGCGGTTCGGCAGGGCGGCTCGGCTAGGCAGGGCGGCGCGAGTGCAGCAGCAAGCAGGTGCGGCAGTGCATTTACCAATGGCGGACGAGGTGGGCCACTACTGGTGGGGCTGGGCCGGGGCGCGTCAGGCAGGGCGGCTGCAGGCTCGTCAGCGGCAGCAGGGCAGCTACGGTGGCAGCTGCTGCTGCAGCAGGAACGGCGACGGTAGCTGCTGCAGGGGTGGCGACGAGGCAGGGGCGACGCCGCGGGCAGGGGCGACACCGCGGGCAGGGGCGACGCCGCGGGCAGGGGCGACGCCGCAGGCAGGGGCGACGCTGCGAGCAGGGGCGACGCCGTGCGGGTCCCGCAGGGGCGTCGCGACGAGGCAGGGGCGACACCCGGGTGGCGACGGGGCGGGGCCGCAACCGGCGACGGGGCGGGGCCGCGAAGGGGCCGATAATGGGCCGCGAAGGGGCCGATAAGGGGGGCCGCGAAGGGGCCGCTAAGGGGGCCGCGAAGGGGCCGCTAAGGGGCCGCGTAGGGGCCGCTAAGGGGGGCCGCGAAGGGGCCTATAAGGGGGGCCGCGAAGGGGGCCGCTAAGGGGGGCTGCGAAGGGGCCGCGAAGGGGCCGATAAGGTGCCGATAAGGGGCCGCGAAGGGGCCGATAAGGGGGGCCGCGAAGGGGCCGCTAAGGGGCCGCGAAGGGGCCGATAAGGGGCCACGAAGGGGCTGCTAAGGGGGGGGCCGCGAAGGGGAGGGCAGAGCGCGAAGCGCGCTTCGGGCAGGTTAGGAAAAAAAAAAATAAACGTGGTGGGCCCTTAGGAAGAAACGGTCCCACTAGGGAACCCGCTCTATACCATGTGAGAATAAATGAGAGGAATGGATGAACTAGAAAGGAGGTGGGTACAAATAGC